GAAATAAATTGTTTGGTTCTGTTTTCTAGACATTACAAATTTATGTTGCTTAAAAGCAATCATGAGAAACGTACATAAATCACGCTGGATGCATAAACCTGTTTAATGTCTTTCTAATACAGGAATAGATTCTTGTTTTAAAGGTTTGTGCACAATACTTTTGAAATTTCTGGGGGGGGGGGGATCTCATAATGAACCTTTAGCAAAGTAACACATGTTCAATTAAAAAAAAAACGCTAGAAACCAGGTTTACCCCCTGGTGGGCAGAGCACAGATAGCCTATTGTGTAACTTTGTGCTTAACTTTAAAAAACCATGTTAGAAATTTTTATAAGTTTCAGAATTCTGGAATTAATAAACAAGTTAATGATAAATATAAAAATAAATTTGCTAGAATAGGTATGTTTAAAAACATGGCAGCTTATAACTATTCAAGATAACAATTGAATTTTAATGGTATTTTCATGCCAAGAGATAAAATTCAACATTTTGGCCAGTATCTGCACAAATTATATATGAATTTTGTGGTTCAAAGTGATTAAACTCTGTAAGTAAAGATGGAGAGACACGAGAACTATGGAAATAATGTCTGTTTCCGCTACTTGTTATTGTTTAAGTTTCATATTCCTTTCCCAGCAAACTCAAGGTCACCAGTACGATCGGTGACCGCGCGTCAATAAATCGCCTGTGTCAGCTGATATCGACGTAACTTTCACAGAAGCAAGGATAAGGATGTATATATTCATCGGTGTATGTGTTTGTGTACTCCAACGTCAAATGAAGGCAGTACAGAGGGTTTTCCTAACATAATGATGTCATCAATAGGTGTGACGCGTACTGTCGGAGTAAGAAACAAAACAGACCAACGCTTGTAATCACCTAAGTGTGTCTACTGTCGTGATACTATTATTACTGTTACTGATAACAGTATAAACAAATAATTGGGTGTCTTAACTCTTACGTCATTTGTTCAGAAAAAGCCGCTGTGTGTCATGGAGAGCATCCTATAAGAAATATATCAATGAAAAGCTGACTAGCGCCAGCTTTACACAATCTGCTGTCCTAACCGATAAAATATAAGAATTACGCGCCTTCACCCCTTTCGTTTATTTATACAGACATAAACACAATTCTGAAATAACTCAGTCTGACCATAAAAAACATGCACCCAAACTAGTGATGATAAATCATTTTAGTTCGAAAAGAAAAAATATTATCTTCGCAATTATGTTTGTTTTGTAATTAAGCACAAAGCTACACAATGGGCTATCTGTGCACTGCCCACTACGGG